GCTTTAAGGGCTTTAAAAAAAGGTAACAAAACTAGGAGGAGGACTTACCCCAAAGCACTATTTAATTTCCAAGATGTTCAGTCTGGCAGCCCCAAAGAGGGCCGACATTAAAGGAACAGAGTAATGTCGATGGCAGCGGAGTGTTCAGATCTTCTCAAATTCCCTCCATAAAGATATAGAACAAGTGGGTAACAAAATAAAGACCCCGGGAGAATATTCACAGAAAACTAGGTGATTACCCCAAAAAGCAAGTAGGTGGAGGACAAACTAGCAGCCTAACCCAGCTATTACACCTCCAGGCATGGGGAACTCACAGGGCAGCCATCACCCTCAGGGACCAGGAAGGGCAGGCTCCCGCGGGAGCCAGGAGTGGGGGGCGGAAGCCCGCCCTCTCCAAAAGCAGGTGAGCTGGGGGCTGCTGCAATCTAGACCTCCATCCTCTAGAAGCCAACCAAGGATGTTTCCCTTACACCCCACAGAGAGGACCCATGTGAGGAAATATTCCAGGGGTTGGAATCAAATCTGAGCAGGGTAGAAATAAGAGGGACAAAGGAATGAAAAAGGCCAGGAACTCTCAGAAAGCAAGTCACTGTGTCTCCGAACACTGCCTGACAGTGACAGAAGGGGGAGCTCTGGGAAGCTGGAACAACTGTGAACCAAGTCAGCTTCTAAAAGCATAAAACTTGAAAACCATAGAATAAAAATGAGACATGAAAATTACTCCAAGGTGAAAAAGAGATGTGGCTCAAAAAAGTCATTACAAACAATACAAGAGTGTTAACAACAGATGCTCAAAAAAAGAGATAAAAATTCTATTTCAAAACAAGATAAAAGATATCAAGAAAATAATACAAGACAGGGAACATTATAAATCAGAATTTGAAAAACTCAAAACACAGAAGAGGCTAAGAAAAAGTTAGGATTAAAAGAAAAGTGACTACAGAACTGAACACTAGCCATGAAAGAACCCAAGGGCAAATAAACTTGACAAACAGTGCTCCCCACTCTCCAGGTAAAAAGCAGAAAACATTCCATCTATAAGAAATGAACTAGAAAAAAAAAGGTTTGGAGAGAATCTGACAAAGACTGAAGACAGGTGACGAGGATTAAGTGTATGGATAACAGGATTCCCTAAAGAAAAAAAAACCAGGGCCTCCCTGGTTGCGCCAGGGGTTAAGACGCAACCTACGAAGCTCTCCGCGGCGAGTTTGATCCGCCGGCCAGGGAGCAACCCTCACGGCGCAGCAGACCTCTCCAGTCTTGCCCGCTGCTCCCCTCAGCAGTGTATTTCAGTAGATCTGCCTGTTCTGCTCCCCACTCTGTCTCTGGTGACTCCTCTCACCCCCCACACCTCTGGCCTGTACCCCAGCTCTTGTATGCATAAGTAAATCAATCTTGGGAGGAAAAAAGAAAAAAAAAACAAGGCAAGGACACAGAAGAAATACTAAAACTTTAATTTGAGGCAACTTTCTGGAAAAATAAAAACAGGGCTTAAAACTATATTGAAAGAGCATACATTGAACCTAGGACTACCAACCCCAAATGACAATATTCTGGTAAAACTACTTTGTTTAGGGAAAGAAACCTCATGAACATCCGAGCGAAAGCAGCATCTGATTTGTACTGGAAAGAAAATTAAACTTATCATCTGAATTTTGTCAGCAACAGTTAATGCCGAAAAAAATATGGAAAAATATATTTAGATACTCAAATATAAAACCATGAGCCAAGGATTTTATCCCCAGAAAACCTCACCTTCAGAATAAGGGTCACACACAAGCTATTATTGGTACTAATTGACAAGCTCGGGTCACAGAGAAGAAATTTCAGAATATTGTTCCCATGAGCTTTTCCTAAGCAATCTGCAAACGGAGTTTCAGATGATTCAAGTGACTGCAGACCAGCAAAAGGGCTGACAGAGCACTCAGTGCGGTCACTTGTACACCAGGCTAGGAGAGGCTGTTAAGTAGGTACGTGACCTTGAAGAGAGATCCTGAAGAGCGAGACGCACATCATTTTAAAATAGAGGACAGAGATAACATAGGTTTACATGGGTCTTTAAGTAGTCATAATTAGTGATAACAGTATTTTTACTCTGAAACTATTGTAAAGTACACTATACTAAAGCAAATGAGATAAATCAGGATATGTTTATATCTTTTATATCTTCAGTCCTTGAGAACCAGGATTCTCAGTGGAAGGAGACAGATAAAATATTAAATAGGTTAAAACTCTAGACCTCAGTTTGAACTAGAAATATTAAGATAAAGCCTTAATATTACGAAGGCATTATATCTTTAAATATATATGTATATCCTAGCCCCTTTTATTGCAAATTCTTAAAAACATATTACACTGGAAGAGTATACCATGAACCTAGGACTACCAACTCCAAATGACAATATTCTCGCAAAATTGCTATGTTTAGGGAAAGAAACCTCACGAACATCCAAGCAAAAGGAGCAATGAACATTCCCAGCACCCAGACTAAGATCCAGAAATTCTATTTAAAAAAATATCATTTCTGAGAGAAAGGACTGGTCTGAGGTGTAGGACAAGGCTGTGCAGATGACCTGGGACACCACAGCACACCAGCTGGCGAGGAAGCTATAGGACCATGTCAAAATGGCTCCAGAACCTTAAAAGGCTCTCACTGACAGGCAGAATGATCTGAACTTTGAGAAAGGAACTGGATCAAAACCCATGGACTATGTTCAAATCCATAAACTCGCAATGAAATAAAGGGGGGAGGGGCACCTAATCGGTCACCTTCTGGGGCTGACAGAGAATCAACTCGCTGCCTTGAAAACTGGATAAAAGAAAGAGTCGAGCGTTACCCTGCTTGCCTCTAGCGCCGGTAAATAAGAGAGAGTATCCTCTTATAAAATTTTACCAGTTAAATACTGAAAACAATAGAATTCAATATCACCATTTTGTGACCCCTAAAGAATTGCAGGGTCTAGGTATTGAACATTAACAGCTACACAAATCAAAAGAATAAAAACCAGCTGTCCTGACATCCTATGCCTTGGACAGAAGAACCTAAGCCAGCTTCATTCAGTCTTGTCAGAGGAAAGGAACCTGAATCTGGTGGCCCTTCAGGATCCAGCTGCCCATTCACAGGGAATTCAGAGAAGAAAGGAGCATGCTGGACTGCACCACAGAGTGATCAGTAAAATCCAGATTGCTGAAAGATACAGGTGAAGGATCAGACTCCAACAGATACACTGCCAGGGACAAGACAGGAAGACAGGATGGAAGAGGAGCCCAGGGGTTAAGAAGAAAACTTAACAAAGGAATAGCCTCCGTCAACCCGAAACAAACCCGTGGACTCTGATGGCAGAGCTTAAGTTTCCAGGAGGGCACATGGGAGCACAGAGGAGGAACAAGTGTGGGTTACTGTGCTGTGGTGGGCACGGTGCGGTGACAGCCGCATCTGAAGAGATGTGGACCCATACTCCTAAAACTATATAGTGTTAAAAACCAATGTTACTGCAATAAAATCTACTTTGAAATTGACAAAACTCAGCTAGAGTGTCCAAAGATGCACAGAAAACCACAAAGAAAGGCAATGGTATATATATACTAAAGCCGTGGGGACACTGGTTAGCTTTAGAGGGAGCTAGAGGACAAGACAGGGCACACGAGGGTGTCGGCGGCCAGGAAAGTTCCATTTCTTGACCAGGTTGGTACAGGTCACTTTGTAATAAATCACTCAACTTCTTAATTAACATCTTTATGTAACTGTTTAGTGCGCTTTATAATACAGATTTTTTTTAAATGTTAATGCTGGAAACAAAGATTAAACCTGCATTTTCAAGAAAGGTTAAAAATGGAGTTGGCATCAATCTAACTAAGTAATGTTCCTTTTCCTTAGAAAAATATGTCTGCCACCATTAAAACGATCGATTTAGCAAGGCACATTAAATGGAACAATTCCTTTTAACAGCAGCATATTTCTTTAATATGCTTTGGCTGCCAAAATGATGAGATTACAGGAGTTATCCTCAGCCAAAAGTCCATGAGAAAAAATGGATAAATGTTTAAATGACATATTTCAGGAATTAATTTGTTTATGTAAAATAATTTTAATTAATCAAGCATTCCAAACAATGTTTTTCAGTTTGGTTCATTCCACAAAAAAATGAAAAGGGAAATAAAAAGCAGGGTAATCCCCCAAGCTGCCCACCTGTTGTGTGAGACTGCTGGCAAGTGCATTAGGGACCGACTTCACTTTTTCAGCACCCCAGTCTGTGCTGTGCCTAACCATTTCAACATATTTCAGGCTATGATTAAAAACTGATCTAAATGAATGATTACATTTTAAGGCTAAGAAGACGAGCAGCTTTTATATCAGAAAGTCACCCAAAGCCTGGTTTCACACACAGCTTGTTTTTGGAATCTAAACAAAGGAATGTAAAGAACTTAACTTTAAAAATCTTCAAGCTGTTCATGTACCTGCATGTAAGGGACTGTCTGAACCAGGGTCCACTAGACAGAACACACCTTCTGATGCAAGCTTGGAGATAAGCACTTACAAAAACTGGTCACTATCTCCGTATCAGTCACACATTCCATTTTATCTGTATAACCTTTGGCATCCTACCTCACTAATATACTATTCACGCGAGCAGTGTTTTTCTCTTTGGTGGTAGTGGTCTGTGGGGGTGGGGTAGGGAGAATATGGTCCCAGGGCATTCACAGAATTATTGGAAAAGTCCTTTTACTTTCCCTAAAATCTTCCCACAGAGTACATATTTCAACTGTCAAATAGCATGTACACACACACAGTAGAAAGATAATATAGTACCACTCAATGTAAGAGGTTATAGAAGGCTTGTCTGTAGTTAAACTTTAATGTTGATAAAATCCTTATACATTTCAATGGTCAATTGAAATTGCTATGATTTTCTGCTTTTCGAGTCTGTCCACATACACTCTGGAAAGCATCAGGCAGCCTCACTGGCCTGGTGCAACGCCCCCCAGCCCCGGGAGCTCACCATGACCGTGCAGTCCTCCGAGCCACTGGCGATGACCTGATCGTTGTGTGGGCACCAGTCTATATCCAGCACCGGTCCTGTGTGGCCACATACTGTCGGGTAGGATTTGTCGATACGGCCAGTCTGAAAGAGAGAACAGACCTATTACGCACATCAATGCCACAGAGTTTGTGTGTTTTCTCAGGCCCGTTTCTCCTGTATTCCCACCAAAACTCTTAGGCGTCCAATGTGGTGGCATTCATATTGGTCGATGTCAATTCTAAGAACTGTCACCTTTCATTTCTGGAAAGAGCTATTATTAAGCTCCACCAAGTTAAAAGGATCCAAATTTACAGAACCACTGTATTAATAGATATAGTAAAAGAGACTACAAAAGTTTTTTTTCCCCCAAATTCCATGATTATATTTTACATATGGCATGTTACAGTTGTTTTTACTATAAAAAAATTCATATTATAACGCAGCATTATAAGTCAATGTTATCTCAATAAAAAACAACTCAATGTAAAAAAAAATTGGTATTATTCAATATGTAAAATATAATTTGTAATACACTAATATCCTTAACTATATAAAATAACACTTCTGGAAATGAATGACACTGTGAACAAGCAAAGTTAAAGAAAAGTTTTAGCTATTGCTTAAAAGCTAAAGGATATTCTATATTTTAATCTGTTGGTCTCTACTGCCCTCGATTAACAAAAATGCCAGTCAGACCATGTGGTCAACACCCACTTTGATGTCAGTCATTATTCAGTTCCATATCTCATTAATACAGTTTTTATTGCTGGTGATAAGCAACCTTCAATTTGCTCGTGTTAAACATTTGACTCTAATAAGCCAATCTGGCTTATCAGAATAAGTGAGTCAAACAAAACAACTGCTATTGTCCAAGTGCACAAAGGCTACTTCCTCTTTTAAACAGGTTAGGGTCAGCTGATGCTCAGGTTCTATAAGCTCTAAAAGCAGGCCTACAGAAAGGCCCACTATACCACACCCCCAAGTCCATCTGTTGCTGCTGCTGCTCTCCTGTGATCTGTTGCTGCTGCTGCAAGTTGTCACACTGGGGTGTTTTCTGGCAATTTTTCAAGGTCAATAAATTCTATGATATTTCCACTTTGACTCAACTGTGGGAATCTCCAGGGAAGGAGCGTGCTAACATGCCACAATCACAGGCCCCAGAGCCAGAGAGTTATTGGTTTAAATTGCTTGAACAGTATGTGACCTTACAAAATCAGGTAATCTCTCTGAGCTTCAACTCATCATCTGTAAAATGACACTTCTCTCCCAGGAATAATGTGAAAACTAAAAAGAACATTTTTAGGCAAATCATAACTTAGTATTATAATTATTTGTATACCTGCATAAACAATTTAATCATAGGACTTAAAATGTAGTGAATACTCAATAAAAAACTCATTTATTATTCTTCTAGCATATATTAATTGACTTCATGATTAAGAACTAGCAAATATGTATTATTTGTGAACATTTACAAACTAGACACTGTGCTGAGTGGAGATAAGAAGTGAACGGGGTAGCCATGTGCTGGCTGAGCAAGGAATCTATTTCAACTGTCGGTTACACTGCAGCCTGAGACACGCTCTGCCAGCACAGGCACAGGAGTGGCGGGAAGACAGAAGGGCATGCGACCATGTTTCTGGGGCTCGTTGTCTTTGCGAGCTCTTTTGCTGAGAAAGGTTACATCTAAGCTGAGATATGAAGATGGTCCTATCTGGAGAACCGAGGCCTGAGGTTTTTCCACATGCTCCTTTTTCCCCTTGCAAAACTAATTAAAGTCAGCTTGGATCTCCTAATTTGCATCACTAGAAAAGGAATTAATAAAAAGAAAATGCCAATAAAACACAGTATCATATAGGATCCAGGTGTTATAAACAGGGGCAACACAGGTTATTTATAGGTGGTGAAGCACAAATCAAGGAGAACCAGCCTGTCTGGAGCTGAGTTTGTGCTGCTTTCTACAATAGCTAGGAAGCCCCTGCCAAATTACTGCATCTTTCAGCCTTAGCTCCTCAACTGTACAATGAGAACATTAGAGTTCATTTTTTAAGAGCTTATGTGAGAATTAATTGAGTCAATCAAGGTAAAACACCTGGTACAGGCCTAGCACTGGTTATGTTCAATAAGTGCTAGTGAAAAATTAACAACTTCTACAATCCACTCTACTATATCCTGATTATGTCTTTCCTTTAAAAAGGAACTGCTACTAAGCACCTAAGCTAGGTGACTTTACCTAGTTCTCTTACTTCATCCTTATAAAATTCAGGTGTGTACTCTACCCTGGAGCTAGTAACCCTGGTAATCTGTGATGGCTCAGCTGCTGTTGGTGAACCCATTTTATAATGATAATATTATAATATTATATAGTATATTGTTATAATGTTATATATTAATGTATATATTATACTATATTATTACTATCTAAACTATAGCTATACTCTTTTGAACATGTGCTATTTCATAATTTAAACCTGAAACAGGGAGGCCAAGATGAGGCCTGACATGCATTTAGATTGTTCTTTTTTTTTTTTTTTAATAGAGGCATGTTTTATTTATTTATTCATTTATTTGTTTGTTTTTTGTTTATACATGCACTGGGTACAGTCAGAAGCGCGGGAGGGTGAGAGAATTCACCAGAGTCAGAGCGGGGAGCAGAGCAGGCAGAAGGACCGAAGTACACTGCTGAGGGGAGCAGCGGGCGGCAGGAGAGATCTGCACGCCATGTGGGTCCCTCCTTCGGTGGCTGGGGAGCAGCCGGGGATCGAACCGGCGCCGGAGAGGCCGCGGGCAGCTTCGCAACCCTGCGCTCAACCGCTGCGCCACCGGGGAGGCCTCTGACATGCATTTAAATAGACGTTTTAGAAGGAGAAAATAAAGAGACTATAAGAGAACAAAAAACTGAGGGGACAGGGCCTCCCTGGTGGCGCAGTGGTTGAGCGCTGGGTTGCGAAGTTGCCCACAGCCTCTGCAGCGCCGGTTCAATCCCCAGCTGCTCCCCGGCCACAGGAGGAGGGTCCCACATGGCACGCAGACCTCTCCTGCCGCCCGCTGCTCCCCTCAGCAGTGTACTTCGGTCCTTCTGCCTGCTCTGCTCCCCGCTCTGGCTCTGGTGAATTCTCTCACCCTCCCGCGCTCCTGACTGTACCCAATGCTTGTATAAATAAATAAATAAATCTTAAAAAAAAAAAAAAAAAAAACTGAGGGTACAATGGTTAGGAAATTTTCCAGGTTCAACTAACGTCATAAATCTTCAAATTTAAAGAGGCACAGTATAAGGAAAAGTAAATCCACATCTATTAACATCCTGATGTAATTTAGAACACCTAGAGAAAAAAGAAAAGTCTCAAAAGCAACCAGGGAGAAAAGACAGATTACCCACAGAGAGAATAATTTGGCTGGCTGTGGGCAGACTTCTCAAAAGCAATTACAGAAACAAAGACTTAAGAGGAAATATTTCATAAATGCTAGGAAAAACCACCACCCTTGCGTTCCATACCCAGATAAACTATTATTCAAAAGTGATGGCCAAAAACAAACAAAAGATACTTCAAACAAAAAGAGAGAATTTATAGACTTTAAAGAAATAAAGGACTTATTTCAGGAAAAGAAAGTGAACTAGGGCCTCCCCAGTGGCACAGCGGTTGAGTGCTGGGTTGCGAAGCTGCCCACAGCCTCTGCAGCGCCGGTTCGATCCCCGGCTGCTCCCCGGCCACAAGAGGAGGGTCCCACATGGCGCGCAGACCTCTCCTGCCACCCACTGCTCCCCTCAGCAGTGTACTCTGGTCCTTCTGCCTGCTCTGCTCCCCGCTCTAGCTCTGGTGGGTTCTCTCACCCTCCTGCGCTTCTGACTGTACCCAGTGCTTGTATAAATAAATAAATAAATCTTAAAAAAAAAAAAAAGAAAGAAAAGAAAAAGAAGTTAAAAAAAAAAAAAAAAAAAGAAAGTGAACTAGAAGAACTGTGATACCAAAGCGACAGGGAACCAAAAAAGAACTGTAAATGAGGTTATTTAAGCAGGCTATATAAAATAGAGGGAATTATGACTAACTGGAGTACATGTAAAACAAAGCAGAACAAATTACTAATATGTAAGATAAGAGAGATAATCAGTGTTCAAAGGTTTCAGGGTCCTTCTCTAGAGAAAGGTAGAAAGATAGAACTGGCTTTAGATTAAGTCATGTGAGTATATTAAAATAAGAGTAAAAACACTAAAGGGAAAGACAATGTTTAACTTCTGAAAGCATGTGGAGTGAGCAGGAGGTAGGCAGAAATTACAGAGGGAAAAAAAACCTCATTCAACCCAATAGAAAGAAGAAATACATACATATGTATAAATATATACACATAGGTAGCTGTAGTAGAACAAATATACTTTTTTAAAGATTAATGTCACCGTGCATAAAGTTAAGCTTACAAAAAAAATTTAACATCACTCTATAACATTTACAGAAACAGTTCACCAGGCCCGCAAACCACCGAAGTGGACGACTAGCAAAGGTGTGAGCAGGGGAGTCCGGGGGGCACTGAAAGCTCAGCAGATACATGAAGAGCTAGCCATCTCTCTGGCAGCCGGGGAACTGCAAATGACACAGGTAACATTTTATAACTAAGAAAACTGGTGTAAAAAGTAGAAGTCCAAAGAAACAGAACACAAGTGGAGCTTGGAAAAGAGGAACTCAGAAAAAGCATTCATGGCAGACTACCCTGCTACAGCTTCTTTTCCGAGAAATCTGGAAGCAGAGGTGAGGATGCCCGCCCGCCCGCGGGCCTGTGGTCTGGTTAAGAGAAACTCTCCCACATTTTGCACCAGCTGGAGATTAATCACAGTTCTGTTGGGAATAGTGAGTGAAAAAAGCAGAAGCTAACTGTCCTTTGTTACGGGAATAAATATCACATGAAAGTTTCACACACCAAAGTAATAGTTTGTATTATAGATACAGATGTAGTAAGGACAAAAATATGATCTATACTCACTTCGAGAAAACAATTACCTCTGATGAAGGAGAGAAGGAAAGAGGGAATGGTATTTTAGCTACATCTGTTATGTCTTAGTGTTTTTGAAAAAGACAGATTATGAAACAAACACGGCAAAATATTAACAT